GCTGTGGAGAAAACGGAACCCTCCTACACTGCTGGTGGGAATGCAGTTTGGTGCAGCCACTGTGGAAAACAGTATGGAGATTCCTCAAAAGACTAGAAATAGACTTACCATATGACCCAGAAATCCCGCTCCTGGGCGTATATCCAGAAGGAACCCTACTTCTGGATGACACCTGCACCCCAATGTTCATAGCAGCACTATTTACAATAGCCAAGACATGGAGACAGCCTAAATGTCCATCAACAGCTGACTGGATAAAGAAGATGTGGTATATTTATACAATGGAATACTACTCAGCCATAAAAACTGACAATATAACGCCATTTGTAGCAACATGGATGCTCCTGGAGAATGTCATTCTAAGTGAAGTAAGCCAGAAAGAGAAAGAAAAATACCATATGAGATCACTCATATGTGGAATCTAAAAAACAAACAAACAAACAAACAAACAAAGCATAAATACAAAACAGAAATAGACTCACAGACATAGAACACAAACCTGTGGTTGCCAAGGGGGCAGAGGGTTGGAAGGGATAGACGGGATTTCAAAATTGTAGAATAGATAAACAAGATTATACTGTATAGCACAGGGAAATATATACAAGATCTTATGATAGCTCATAGAGAAAAAAATGTGACAATGAATATATATATGTTCATGTATAACTGAAAAACTGTGCTCTACATTGGAATTTGACACAACATAGTAAAATGATTATAAATCAATAAAAAATGTTTAAAAAATTACTTCCAGAACTCCAAACTTTGATCTAGGCTGGAAATTATTAAAATAACATGTTGTTCCAAGGAAGCAGTTGTTTATAAATTATTATGTATTTTTGGTGTGGATTTACTTTTAGTCTTTATATTAGTAAATATATACCTTCTGCTCTCCTTATGAAAAGTAAGTATTGATAACATTTGTTAATCCCTTTTACTCCATATCCTTTTGAGAAATATCTTCCAAAATAAAATGGATTTATTTCATGTAAAAAAAAAAGAAAATATACGTTCTAAATGTTCCAAGTGAAAAATAACTTATCTTTTACAGTGAAGCACCTACATAACAGAACATAGGCAAAATCTCAGCAAGTTTTCTCTGATGCTTAAAGATAGTATTAGATAAATTAGAATTATTTAATGCATATTTTGTTTCCATATATATTTAAGAAGAGTGCAAACTGTAATAATTGTACCCAATAAAACTGAAAAAGGAAAAAAATATAAAAGACATACACACACACACACACACACACACACACACACAAAAGAATGGTCTCCAAACGACATAGTTTAAAACAAGGAATATAAATGGGAAATTGTAGCTCAAAGTAGATGAGAATAGTTGGAGCCTAACTCTTCCAAATGAATTCAGGCTGCAGACTGAGAATCATCACATGTCAGAGTACTGAGAAAATTGCAGATGTCAGTCATCTTTGCAAATTTACAGAAAATAGGAGAAGGACCAGAAAATTAGAGAAAGGAAAAATGCCATGATTTTCAAATGGGGTGGAAAGAATGGGCTATGTAATTTGTTGATCAGGAAGCTTTACACTGATAATCAGTGAAATAAAGTCATCACTGATCAAGCAGGTTGTGAGCACTTTGGAAAGAACCCCTGGATCACTAGGAGACAATCTGATTTATGCCAAATTATATTTACATAATTGATGGGATACTAGGTAGACAGACCTTCTTTTGAGTAGTATCTTCCATTACAGACTTAAAAAAAAGTTGTGAAATAGTGGTTAAAGCACTATTGCGATCATCTATGATTGTTTAAAAAACTGGTTAATCACCTGGTTGCTTTATGGATTGGGACCTCAAGCTGCCCCTCAGACACTTTTATTAAAGATCTAATTGCAGCCATAAGAGGCTTATTTATTAAGGAACAGCATTAAACCCTGGAGAGATGGCTGAGGTAGCAGATAGCAGGTTCTAAATTAGTGTAACAAAATGGCATCATGAGTGAAAACTGACAAAATGACATTAAATAGGAATACATATAAAGGTTTACATTTGTATAGAAAAGACAAATAGGCTACACAGATACAAAATAGGAGAGCTTGCCAGAAATTGCAATAAAACTGTAATGAGAGTTTTGTTCAATCACAAGCTTAATTATGAACCAACAAAGTGAAATCACTGCTAAAAGTGCTAGCATAATCTTAGGTCTCATTAGTTAAGAATGAGACTTAAGAATTTTGTACTTTTGTTGAAGTTGTACTTTACTCTTCGCTTATATTTTATCAGTGATTTTGACAAACCATGGAAAATTGTGGGAGGGAGGATTAGGATGAAGAGGAAAATAAAGCTACCTCCTAAAAGAAAGGACTTATATCTAGTTAGCTGCAGAAAAGACTCAGATTAGACACAGCAACTATTTTCAATGTTTGAAAAACTTGTGTGTGTAAGAGAAATGAAATCTGAATACTTTTTCCCCCTGTGTAGCTACAGAGGGTTAGAACCAGATGTGAAGATTTGACTTAAGCTTTAAAAAAAATGTTTTCTAGCAACTGGCCTTTTCTAACAATAAAATGAACAGTTTTGTTAGGAAGATCCTTGAGGTATTGAAGGAGAGGTGGATTAGCCATCTTTCAAGAATTCCATAGAGAACTTTCTGTCTGAGGTCAACACAACGGTTCTAGAATACTTTACAGACACTCGACAACTAAAGTTTAGGGTACATTTCTAAATACAATGCAGCCTCACTATAAAAAGATCTGCTATTGTAAGAAATTCTTCAAAATAAAAATTCATCCTAGATATTGTCTTAAGCCTCTAGAAATTTTATAAGGATTTTGCTGCATGCTCTTAGTACATAACTCAGTACTTTTGGGTGAACTGAGGACTCTATGTGATAACAATAATGTTGCATTTAGATTATAGTCACTTGTTTCTAGATAAAATTGCCTTCACGTGATAAATTAACAAGAGGTCTAGGACCAAAGAAGTACATAAAGGCTGGGCTTCAGAAGGACTAGTCTAGGTTGAATGAAGCTAAAAAGAACTTCCTAAACCAGCACGGCTGAATAACAGTTAAACTTCTTAATTTATGATTTTGACTTTGACAAGTAACCCTTGCAGAAGGTATTACTCATTTAATGTCATTCTCACCATATTTATTAAATTAAGGATCTCAAGCCCTAGGTCTTGAGTTAAGAAACTTCGCTTTAAAAATAGCTGCCACTGCTTCTCCACTGAGACAAACCAACGCTTGACTTCAGCATCATCCTCTTCCTTTCCTGGGACTTTAGTTTGGTAGAATTCCCTTAGGTTCTGACACTGCTCCTCTACCTAAAGAAAGGAAAATGTAAATGAAAGTTAAGAACACTTAAAAACATTTCTAAAAGGAAAAAATACTAGATTCTAAAAAAGCCTATGTAAAAATTAACTGGAAACCACATTTCAGAATTCTTTAAATAATTATTAAATATTGTCAATTTATTGAAAAGACATGAAGTTCTACTTTGGTTGTTGACAGACTGGACTGACTACCACTGGGTAGTAAATTGAGCAGACAAGTTTATTACTAATAAGACCTACTTACTATAGCCAAAATCATATTTATGTATTACATATGTGTATGTTTCACAATTGGGTACAATTTATATCAAAGACTAGTGGTTATTTTTTACATGGTTCCCCTTAAAGCTGAGTTTTAGAATTCAGAAGAAAGATAAACAGATACAATCAAGGAATACAAATTAGAAAGAAATGTAAGTCAGTGAAAAACTATTCATAATTAGTAAATCACGACGTGTTTCTAATCAGTGATAAACCAGAACCAAAGAATATAAATAATTATGAATTTTCCAAATAAGTTTTAATATTAAACTGGCTTCATAAGCTAATCTTATTGAGGTATATTACTTCACCTCCCTAGAATTATACTTTCTCATTTGCTAACCAATATAAGCAGTACTAGATTATTTTAAATCAGTCTCTTTAAACAGAGATTATATAAAATCAATGTGCCTGTAGAACGATAGATAAGCATGTAACTGGGTGTTGTAGAAATAGCAGAAAATTTTTGATGCAAGTGTTTATACATTTTGAATACATAATTGGCCAACAGGACAAGACTCAGAAAAAAGAGCTCATAACTACCAAAGGCAATCAACACAGGATAAGAAATTTAAGGCAATGGTTAGTCACCATATTTTGAAGATTTCTAACATCATTGTGAATTTAAATTAGTGCCTGCAAATAGCTCTCAGAAACAGAAGTTCTCTCCTCTTTTCCCATATTCCATTTATTCTATTGCCTCTGTTTTGCTGAC